GAGAACAAGAGAACTGAGATGGAGAACTCGAAAGAATGTCAAGAAAAAATAGGAAGAACTAACAACTACAGACAAAGAATTAGAAACCACAAACAAAACAAGAATTAAAAGAAAACAAAGCAACTTTAAACATAGGAAAGCAACCATACCATGGGCAGTTCTTAAGTGCGTGTTGAGACTGTGCTTAGTTGCCAATGCAGCTCCACATACAGAACAGGTGAAGTTTGGCCCGTCTTTAAGCTTCGTGGATTCCTTCACATCCATTTCAACACTACAGACATGCCGGTCTAAGCTCTCCTGTCAAAGACAAATAAAGGTATTGAGTCTTACTACTGTCAATATTATCTGTACTTTAATCATAATGTCATTTCCTTAATCCATTCCTTTCATTTTTTAAACCTGTCATTATCAACAACAAACTTCTATATCACAGTAATTTAGAAAGGAAAAAGTTCTGTCTTTATCAAAAATACTACAATCTACTTGATTCTCCAGCTGTTGAGGGACCTACCTTTCTGTAGTAGGACCTCCTGCAGCTGGAGCATGTATAAGGAGCAGGCCCATGAACAGCTGCATGTCTGTTGAGGGCTTGTACTGATCGGAAGACCATGTTGCACTGGTCACACTGTTGCTCAACCTCGCACACATGTACCTCTGTGAAACATAACAGGGTGAGAGGTCTTGAAATCTCCACATATACAAAATAGATAAACCTCCAAAACAAAATTACAAATTCAACTATAGTATCATCACCATATGATGTAAAAGTGCCAATCCAGTAAAAAACAAATGGACAAATACAACAAAAGTAGAAATGTGGTTACTTTGCCGAGAAAATAATGAATATCGAATGCATGGTCACCATAAACTACATCCCCAAAGCACTCACCATAGCCGACACGGGAACGGAACCTGTGGCCACAGCAAGAACAATGGTATGGATGCGTGTGAGTGTGGTAATGTGATCGGAACTCAGTGGCATCGGTGAACGCAACGCCACAATCTTCACATGTAACTTGGCCTGTTGATGCTAATTGCTGACTCTGGGGATGAGGAAAAAAGTTGTGTGTGACTGTGTCATTTTTAATATACAGTAAATACAGTCCACAAATATAGACCATAGAATAATTGCTATATTATAAATAGAGATGATAATAGTAATAAGAAAAGAAGAAAAAGATGGAGAGACAGAAGGAGATAGAGGAGAGGAAGAAGAAAAAGAAGAAATTGTGCCAAAAAAAAAAGAAAGAAAGAAAGAATGAAAAAAGAAGAAGAAAAAACAAAAATCATGCAAATCAAAATCACTTACCTGTCGGCACAGAGGAACATGTTGCGCTAGCTTGGTACTACTTCGGTAAGGCTTGTTGCAAATGTCACACTGGTATTGCCTGTTATGACCAGCCATGTGACGATCTAAGATGGTCTGGTTCACAAAGTCCTTCCCACACACACCACACTACCAAGAGAAGAGAAAGACATCAATGTTGTTATTGCTTGTGAAGTGATTATTTGGGTTAAACTTTCTTTCATTAAAAAGTTATGATTATTATTCTTACAATCATAATAATTACCATAATCTTTGTCCATATTATCAGATTCATCATTAGTCTACGGTTATCAGGGTCACTATGATGCACAGTATCATAAGCGTATTGCACTATGATAAATGCATATGCTTGCTATATAAAAATTCTTCTATCATGATTTCACCGTAAACTTCAAGAGTAAAAGTAGTTTGGGTCTTCATTGCAAAATAATTTCCTAATCCATGCAAGGATCTCTAGCTTGTGTAGTGCTTTTGACAGTCATTACAGATATCTGGAAGACTTTTGCTCTAATTCTTACTTGAAACTAAAAGCTCTTCAAGACAAAGCTCTTCTCTGTGAAATAAATGTATCAACTACATCCGATGAAACACTTCCTTGCACAAACTGCTTCTCTGATGAAAGCTAGTGGTATATTACAAACAATGCTTTTGCCAGTGGCCTTGAGACCATACCACTTCTTACTTTGATTGCCAGTAACAAAATTTCTGACAGAATTAAGGCTGTTTCTTACCTGAAAGAAAGTAGTGACTTCAACGGATGGACATGATTTCAAGTGGCGATCCAACTCACTACTGTTGGCAAAAGTGCGTCGGCATCTGTCACATTTCCTGTTCCCTGAAATATGAGAAGTAACTTGAAGGTGAAGTATATTTTGCTGCAATACAATTTTTTTTTAAGGTTATTAGTATTCTCATATTTTTACAAAACCTCTTTTAATGTATTAAGTACATAATATATATATGAGGTGCCGATAGGTTGGAGTTGCCAATTGACATTTTCCCCAATAAAAATGATTGTTTTGTTTGATTTTTGTTTTATTTCTGCCATTCAAAATTTGCTAAGCACTACAAGGATGATGAGTAAATAGCATTTACATTACAGTGAGACATAAGCTTCTGAAAAAGTAAACTTGTTGTCAATCAAAACTTCATCTCAAAATGGCCAACCTCCTTCATTTTCACATGAAGGCTCATTTACATAAACCTACAATAACATACCATTGTGTTTGAGGTAATGCTGTTGCAGTAAAACTGGGTTTATGAATTCTTTGCTGCACAAGGAACACTTGAAATTTCTTTCTTTCGCTTCATCAGGGCAGTTGTGTTTCTGAAGACCCTCCTTGCGAGCGAATACCTAGGAGACATAGCAGTGTCATGGACCATGTGGATATTGGTAATCCTTTTATCTCTTAATACAAGAACTGCACAATCATAATAACTCTGATAATCTACATGGTGTGCAATAAAAGACAAAAATGTGGAGGTTCCTGTACATGCAAGGAAATTTTAGTATAAGACTCTGAACTCCGTAAAGCAAATGTTGCATCACTTATTGGGTTGAGATTTAAAAACCTTAATTAACCCCTTGCTGATGGGCATGGCATGTACGGACATGCCATGCCCATTGTGAGTTTACTTGTTTAATTGTTTTTACATACAGATGGCTACACTTGTACTATGAGCCAGTTACAAGTACTGCCTGTCTTGCCCGTTCACCCTTTTCATCCATTTACAAAAATATTTAACATCATCATATTTTGCTGTTACAAATGTATATAACATTTTAGTAATTATAATGTTTATAATAAAAATAACACCATTTATATTCATAGCACTAGTAAAAATACGTTTTTTGCGCCAATTCAAGGAAAGGTGAAATCCTTTATGGCTAAGCACTAGCAGAGCCATCTAGTAACAGGGACATTTCACAAAAATATAAAAAATGAACAAAGAATTTCCCCCATTTTTTATTCATTTTCCCTGTTGGGAAAGTGTTAAAGTTATGAAGTAAAGTATAACTAGACTTGGGATATAAATTAGCTTCTTTGTCTGGGTTGCTCTTTGGATGCTATTGCACCTGAGATGTTGAATTATGTCTACATCCCCTTTCTAAGAGGGATTTCTAAAATATTAAATACCTTCTAATGCCTCAAATGTATAATCACACATCTCTATCTTTCTCTGTTTTTGTCTGTCTATCTGTCTGTCTCTTCCAACCTTTAAGCAGTGCTGACAGGTGAAATCTCCAGTGTGCTTCCGCAGATGCCTCAGCAGATATTCAGCCTTGTGGAAATGTTTGCGGCAGATCTGGCAGTCATGGGGCCTATCCACAGGTTCAGTTGGAATAGCTGTCACTTCATTCATGCCTTTCTGAAAGGTGACCGGAATGGGAATTTGTGATCTGTTGGACTGAAAGGTGACCGGAATGGGAATTTGTGATCTGTTGGACTGACAGCTGTTGGGTCACTTGGAGTGGTGATAGGAATTCGTAACATGTATTGCTAACAGCTTTAGGCTTACTAGGAATTGTGAAAGGAATTTGCAGCCTATATACAAGATAGCTATTGGCTTACTTGGAATTGTGAGAGGAACTTGTAGCCTCTATGACTGACGGATTCATAATATATTGGTTTATTAGGAATTGTGAAAGGAACTTGTAGCCTCTAAGACTGATAGATTCATAATACATTGGTTTACTAGGAATTGTGAAAACTAATAACTATTATAATATTAGGAATTGTTACAGGAATATGTAGCCTGCACACTTAATAGTTATTGGATAAGTATGAATAGTCTTTATATACCATTGATTTCTTTCTTTTTTCATTGTAAAGTACAATACACAAATTGTTAACGACAACTTTGAAAAAGAAACCTACTCTTTATATTTTAAAGATCTGTCAAAGAAAAACTTCAAACAAAGATGACATCTCTTTTTATTTGTAGCTTTGCATCAAAAAAAAGAAAAGAAAAGAAAAAGAAAGAAAAAAAAGAAAGAAAAAAAAAAGGATCTGAAAACAAAAAAATTCTCAAAATAAAGAAACTAAAATACAACCAGTATGAATAACCAAATACACAAAATAAAATACATAACAATGTAATTACTCTAACAAACTGGTAAATAATAATAAGATGAACAACAATGAAAAATAACCGAGACTCTTTTATAAGCATTTTGTCAAATAACAAGCCTGAAAAACCTTACCTCTTTAGTACCTACTGCACAGGGGTCATCAACCACACTTTCTTCATCACTCAGGACTTCAAACTTCACAGCAACGTCACCATTTGTCCTGCCATCTGCAATCAAGTAACCTCTAAGCAAATGTTGCAAAATATTTTACTGCCCTCTTTTAGATCATAAAATTCTCTGCAACAAATGAAAATGTCTTGTAACAAAATATCTTATTGCCCTCTTTTAGATCATAAAAATCTCTGCAACAAATGAAAATGTCTTGTTTGAATCAAGTAATTAAAATAGAATCGTACAGGTAATCAAGAATAAATTGAAATTATTCATACACATACAAAGAAACTTCTAAAAGATAAACTAATTCCATTATAGGACTGACATTTCTCAGATCATAGAGAAAAACATGACAATCATTATCCCAACATTGCAGGGACTGATAGCAACTCTCACCTGACAATGCTTTCCCATTATAATCTTTGTGCGACGTCTGACAATGCCGTTCCAATAACTGCGAACTTGAGAATGAGCAGCCACACGTCTGGCAGATGTGACACCTTCCAACCAGCCACAGGAGGTGAGCCTGTAAATAAAGAATGATTAAAGTCGGAAGAACATTTATCTTGGAGAACGTGACGGAAAAGATTCTACAGCATGTGGAAATAGAGTCATATACTTAATGTAGTCTATTTGCATTACAACTACAAAGATGGGGAAAAATTTCAGGGGAAAAAAATGTATAACAACAATTAAACTTTCCTAAGCATTTCCTGCATGCATTATTCACCTTTAATTCTCCTACAGCAATTCAATCCCATTTTAATATCAGAATACATCAAATACTTTTGCAGTTGGGACATTATGATGATGTTTTCAGTGAAAAAAACAAAGAAACAAACACAGAGACACACATACATATGAAGTGAGAGAGAATATTGTCTACTGTCTGTTAGTGCAACTTCTGTAGAAAGGTGATCTATATCTCTTCTGTCTTATTGCTTTTATGTAAGGTCACTGATGTGGATCAATTAACATCCTTTACCCAGTGTGCTAGCATGATATGACATGCATACTAGGTATTTAAGGATTATAACTGACCTCTTCTTAAACTTGAGTATATGCAATAACTATTCATCATTTCAAATATATCATAGTATATTTCAAGGACAATTAGTAATAGTAAAACACAAAGAATATAGAGGTTATGGATAGAACTTTGGATATATTTTTAATTTGATTTTATACAGGCAGATGGTGAAAAGAATATGGATCTATATCTAAAACTCAAGCTTGAATAAAACGTGAGTAAAATGCTCTGAATAAATAATATCATAAGAAAGAAAATGGACAGTAATAATATCATATGAGGAAAAAGAAAGAAGAAAAAATGGAGACAACCATTGGAAAAATATTTAACAAATGAAAGAAAAAAAAAATACATACATAAACAGCAAAGGAATATCATTTTCAAAACATAAAATGGACACAATTCGAAAAAAAGGCAACACAGAAAAAAAAAAAAAAAAAAAACCTGTTGCAAAGCACTGACTTTCAGATGTTTCGCAAAGGGTATGATCTTCGAGTAGTTTTCCCCACAGTAAGCACAGGCCCAGGGCTGTGGGTCACGAGCTCCCAGGGCACGGGGAGGGAGTTGCTTGACAATGTGGGAGTTTGCTAGAGGAACATCTGCAAGGAGGGGTGGGAGTGTGTAAATTCTTTTATGACAATGACAAATATTTCCCGTGTTTACAAGTGACATGAGCTGTGGTCTTAAGAGGTAACATGAAAAACACCATAGGGGAGAAAAAAAATTAATGAAAATAACCTTACCTGCTTTAACTTCTTTATGCTTGTTTGCTATCTTTCTTCCTGTCACAGCCCCAGGCAGTATAGAAATGGTATTGTTCATGTTCGCTGGAGGCTTTGAATCCACCTCCCTGGGTATTCCCTGAGCTGGTGCCTGCAAATTCCCTTCTTTGTGTCGCTGTTTGATGCGTGGAATTGGCGAAGCTGCAGTAACGGTGAATGTCACTATACGTTCCTTCAAATGAGTGTCATTCTTCTCAGTCACAAGTTCGATACTTGACTTAACGAAAGCTTCTGCTGTTCCTAGGAAGGGCTTAGGACCATTTGCATCTAGTCTACCTCTTCTTTGGTCTGTAAGTGAATTGTTCTCTCCCTGTAAACCTATCTTAGGCTTTAACATCTGTCCATCCCTAACCCAAGGCACATTACACGAAGGAGCAGCAACCACAAAATCACCTGACAACAAAACTGGCTTGTTCTGCAACCCTGTTTCATATCCTCTACCCCCAGCATTATGGGTAAAAGTGACTTGTCCCTTCCCGACAACAATCTTTGATAGCGACGGTGACACCTGTAGTGCTGCAGTCAAATGTGGCATATGATGGCTTACTGCTGACTTGCGTACCACAACCGCTGAACCAACTAAGCTGCGGTTGTAACCGAGAGACTTCAGCTCCTCCTTCATCTTCTCTTGATAGAAGGGAGCGTACCATACTCTGAGCTCCGAGCCTTCAGAAATGTCCTCTGCAGCAATGTAGTACAGGAGATCATCTATCTGCAAGTTTTCAAGGTTTAGAATGAGAATGCCTAAAAATTCCACTAAAACAGTGGTTATGCATATGATGACAATGATGGTGATGTTTATGTTGGTAATAATGGTAACGATAGTGATGGAGGTGACAATGATGATGATAATGCTGGTAACATGATGACAAAGATGATGACGGTGGTCAAAATAGTGATTTGGATAATAAAAAGGAGAAGATTTGGAAGAAGTAAGATGGGATGAAAGAGGATAAAAATAAGAAAAAAATAAAGAGAAAACAAACAAACACACACACACACAAAAGAAATAATTCTAGAGGCATCTTTCCTCAACCCCATAGGCTTACCTGGCATGCAAGAAGGTTTCTGTTGGTGGGAGAGCCAGCAGGAATGAGACTAAGCCAATTGCAAAGGTGCTTCCTTGTCAGGTCCAGGTATGTGCAACCTCCACCCGCATGATAGATCTGTAAATTGGATTAATAGTCCATCTTATCCAAACATTAGCTAGAAAGAAATGAATTGGGCATTCTGTCATTTATCGTGTAAAGGGTGACTTCCTCAATTGGTTTTCACTTCTGTTACAAAATTTCTAAACTGTAAATATATGTAACTGTATACTAAGTTGGAAAAAAAATCTGTGCCAGCAATTAGTATACAAAAAAGTATAGACAAATACTCAAAAATACACTATTTATATTTGACCAAGCCAGAACCAAATTCCAACGCAATTCCGAACCTTGAGGGGAAAAGACGAGTAGTGACTGAGCGCTGGCGTGTGTGGGGCAATGAGAGGGCCCAAGCGGGTATACTTTGGCACCGCCTGGCCCACCACCACCAGCCGAAAGCCCTGAGATCTCCCCCCTTCGACACGCACCCAAGATGGTAAAGACTTGAAGGCCAGGTGGGGCTCTTCATGCTCTATACTCTGGACCTGTATGAATGTGGAAAAATGATTAATATATATAAATTACAATGTTGGATGTCTGAAAAAGTAACTTACATTACAATGATTTGTAATACTATCAGAATTTCTTTTTTAATTTCTGATTCTCTGTCTATAAAGCATGATAAAAGTTATAAGCTGACTGCTCTTACTATTTTCAAGAGACCTTTAATGCAAATGTGTTTAATATATCGATGAAAACATAAGATAAAGATAAGATTATTGTTTTTTTTTTTTTACCTTTGATGTTCATATCATAGAAAATCTTCATCATAACCACAACTATCACTGAATTAATTTTGAGATTATGTTTTTGGGAACATTATCATTCCAGCATTATCTGTTATTGTTCAAGAAAAACTACATTCATCCCTTTCAACATTATCATCACAATAAGACTATTAATGAATTATTTTTCTATATAATTTTTTTTTGCCTACATATTCTATACTATCATTTACAATCACTATGTAACTTTAATATCACTATTCTATTATACCACATTAGACTATACTATATCAGCTGTAACATCAATTACAATGCTATTCCTATTTTGGAGAGCCTAGTTATTAGAATAACTCCTATACAATACTTATGGTAGTAATAACAGTTTCACCAATATTTTTTTAGAGCACTGCTACAAGAGGTGCCAGGCATATTTGGAACTTATGTAATGGCAGTGATAGATAGATAGATAGATTGATTGATTTGATATGTATTACTGATCACCACAAATAGAGATACAGAGGGGAAAAACAAAAAACAAAACTGAGACAGATAAACAAACCGTTAAATCCAAACGTGTCAGTATGGAGCAATCACGAGAGAGGTGGTCCTCTCCACAAAGGTCGCATGTCATATCTGTGAAAAACAAAACAAAACAGTTTTTATTGAATCTCTTTCAGTGAATATGATATGTGTAGGCCTTTTAATCACAGATCACAAGAGTCATGCAGAATAGGACCAGATAGAAACAGAGAAAAACAAATGTAGCTCCTGGTCATAAAGAACTAATAAAACATTAGATATAAAAAATGACCTAAACAAAGTAAAGCTAAGCCCTTAATCACTTGCCAAAGGCAGTAGATCTACACATCAATTCGGCTAAAATAATGCACACTGAATAAAATAATACCTTCAGCAATTCTCCAAACAGCTTAGGTTTGGGTAACTTACTTCAACTTGCAATATACCAAGATTCTGCAACGTGCTTGTTTTATTTAAATACTAATTCTACAAAAAAAAGGAACATAGTTTTCCTAACATTCTGCAATCTTGTTAGTCATAATGCTTTGAAATCCAACCATATATAAAAAGGAACATAGTTTTCCTAACATTCTGCAATCTTGTTAGTCATAATGCTTTGAATTCCAACCATATATGAATCTCAGAGGCCATGCTCAATCCTAAGTTTGAGTATGGCCTCAGACTTCCTGTGGGTACCTAGCTATATACACCTATCTATATCCTTATCATTCACTCTATATCAATGAGTGTTATTTTGACTCCTTTAAAAGTAAGCATTGTTTACCTCTTTTTTGTCAAGACAGTAACCACTTAATAGATATTACCAGTATTCAATGTTGCTGGGAAAATACTGTGCTTATTCTTTATTTTTTTGTGAAATGTCTTTAACTAATGCTATAAATGTCAATGGTGTTATATTTAAATAGACATTAATGACATTAGTAACAGCAACATAAAATAATCTAAAATATTTCTGAAAATCAAGGGAAAGGGTAAACAGGCAAGACAGGCAGTACTTGTAATTTAGTACGTATAGCCATCTATGTATAAAAACAATTAAACAAGTAAACTCACAGTGAGTGGGCATGGCATGTACATACATGCTATGCCCGTTGGATTTGGGTTAATAAAATAGGGTGTACATATAAATCTATGTCAAAATAAAAACAATTAATGACGATAATCAAACACAATTTGTTGCCAAGAGATGAAGTCCCAAAAC